TAAACCTTCCTTTGTTCATTAATCAAAGGAGTCAAGACACAAGCAGACCAAGTTTAGAGTTTAATGGGTGAGCAACCAATTTCATGGTACCATAAATATAGGGGGGTTCAGGCTTGGTTTTCTGGAAGTCCTAAGAAACCTTAAAAGATCCATGGGGGGTTGTAAAAGTGGTTAGAAGAAGGCATGTGTGACTCAAAAGAATGAGGCAAGAGCAGTGGTATCGTAGGAACTGACATCAGCTCGGTGTGGCTGGTCATGAAGTGGGAGGTCTGCCTTGGGGGGCGGGGATCCCACGAGCTTTGGGGTACTGTTGGGTGGGGACTTGTTTTTAAAAGGTCACTGTGGAATGGAGGGGAGCCAGAGAGGCTTGATTCAGCCAGAGCCAGTGATGGTGGGTTTAGGAGAGGTGAGTAGGTATGAGAAGTATTTAGGAAATCAGATATGGGATGCCTCAATTTCTGGCTGAGGCAATTGGGTATCATTCATCAAAACAGCTGACACTGGAAGAGGACTGGGCAGGGAGGTCACTGCTGATTCGTTCTGAACTTGTAGGCAAATCAAATCTGGGGCCTGTCCCCATATACCTGCCTCCACGTGGAGAGCACAGGCTGTGTGCAGTGAAGAGCACAAACTTACCCTGCTATTGTTTTGGAGGAAATATGTACTGAGATTAATACATACTTTCATGTCGTAGAATATTAAATTCTAAGACAAACCAAAGGTGATTTTTCTTTGTAAGGTATTTATCTGCTGGCATCTCCTTCGCAGGAAGCGAAGTTTCATGCTTTCCTTTCTTTCAGGTACGCCCCAGAATGTCTGATTCAGTGTAAATTTTATATTGCCTCTGACGTCTGGTCCTTCGGAGTGACTCTGCACGAGCTGCTTACTTACTGTGATTCCGATTCCAGTCCCATGGCCGTAAGTTGTACTCGTCTGTTCATTTGAGCCTAGCACCCAATTAAAATGTGCCCAGCCCTGGCCCGCACATGCTTTCAGGGCGTGTGAGGGAAGCAACCAGTTCTCTCTCCCACTCTGAAAAGCAATGGAAAAAATATCCTCAGGTAAGGATTAACAACAACAAAAATGTGTCCATCCTTCTGCTTTGTAAGTTTTAAGTTCTTAAGTGGAATCCAGTTCGTGTATTATAATGGAAAGTGTTGCTTTCCATCTAACTTGGTTTATTCCTTGACACTTTGTGTGGCTCTCCCACATCCTGCTTTCCCAAGGAGCCCAAAGTTCTCTCAGATAACCCTGACTTTCAAGGGTCTCCTCTGTGTGAAGGAGCCCTGGGTAGGAGCTTTGTCTGAGCTTCACGTATTCCTAAATGAGGTCATTCTCACTGGGAAGGCTCCCTGGCCAGGAGGAGTGGTGGGTTGAGTCTGATCATTGAGTGCTAATAAGGATTTTTGGACTTGCATTTAGAGTTACTATGGAAAAAGCCTTTTTATTATTTTAATTTCCAGTTTATTCTAGAAATTCCACCTTAATCTGGTTTATATAAATATATGCAACCTAAAACATCTTGTCTGGTTTTATTTTACATAGTTGTTCCTGAAAATGATAGGCCCCACTCACGGCCAGATGACAGTAACGAGACTTGTGAACACATTGAAAGAAGGAAAACGTTTGCCTTGTCCTCCCAACTGTCCAGATGAGGTATTTCTGGGCCGGGCACTTCACAGTTACACCACTCAAATGTTACTATGTTTTCACAGTTTGCATTTATCCAGCAAGGGACAAGGTGGGAGGAGCAGGGAGGAGTAGACAGTTCCTTAAAACTGTTTTCTGAAGCTGAATTTCAGATATTTGAGAAATCATCTTTGGGCCAGATGACAGCCACAAATTATGTTCAAAGCAAGGATTCCCTCCAAAAGTAGGCTCACCTCAGAAAGTACCATAGGAGCATATTTTGGTATAGCCTTATTGTGAAAAATACATATATACATTTTGTGTAGAAGTTTGTCCTACTTACTGATAGCATTTATGATGTAGCATTTAAGATGTTCAGTTTTCTGTATTCTAAAGTGAATTGAGCCTTTAAGACTAATTCATACTATGCAGTACATCTTAGAGTAAGGTACCCAGAATCTAAACTGAGATAATACTTCACCCTTAAATTGGTTTACCATAATGACCTGGATTTTTTTTTAAGGTCATTTAACCCATGAGCTTCTCAAATATTAAAATATTATTTATGAAATATAGGTGTGACATTTTCTATATTAATCATTCAAATACCCTTGTTATCTAGTCTTATGGAAAGTCATTTACATTTCTATACTTTTTTTTTTTTACTGTTACTGTTTCTTCTTTTTACAGGTTTATCAACTTATGAGAAAATGCTGGGAATTCCAACCAAATAATCGGACAACCTTCCAGAACCTTATTGAAGGATTTGAGGCACTTTTAAAATAAGAAGCATGAATGGCATTTAAATCTCACTGTGTATTAAGTCCTCTTCCCCAACAAATACCCACGCCATTTAAAAAAATTTTAATGGAAAAACTTTGTATTCTGTCTAAAAAGATACTTGGGTACGTAATTCACGTATAAGGCACGCTGTGGTGCTTAATATGTGTAAGTACTTCCTCGTTATTTGTCACTGTTATTGGTGCCAAATTTAATGACAACCAAAATATTAGTAAGCACTCCTCCTTTTGGAACGATATACCACCATTTCATCTGGCTAGTGTACCATCACAGTTGTGTACCAGAATAGAATATTTTCAAAACAAAATATCAAGATGATTGCTTTCTCCCAGCTGATTTAAATATTTTTCTGGTGCATAAATCAAAAGATAAAGGTAAATGGACTTAGTCAGTACATCATCTATATAGTGATAGAGCAAGCATTCTTGAACTATTAGATACCAGTTAGTATACTATCATTTCTATACAAAGATGAGTGTATTCTTGTCATCAATAGGACTTTAAACTTGGAGTTGTTTTGTTTTTCCAGTAGCTTAGCTCCTGTCCCCTTGGGTGACCAGCGGTACCCTTTTATTTTTATTTTTTTTAAGAAAACTGATTGTGCTCGGGGGACTGCTATGGAATAGACCCTTTGCTGCCTGGTGTTAATTCTTGAGAACTCAGCCTGTGCCAGTGCTTTCCCAAACAGTATACTGCTAAACAGATTTGATTCCAAGAACCTGGATGATGTTATACACGCTTTTAAGAAATGTCAATGTATATATATCCTTTTATAACTCGACCACTTTGGGGCAAGCTATTCCAGCATTGGTTTTGGATGCAACCAGTCAGAATATATACTACATCGCACTGTTCTTAGAGTGTTTCAGTACTTACCCGCCATCTATAACAGTCGATCACTATTTTGACTGTCATCCTATGGCAGCGATTTTCAACTCATGGGACACCAAAAAAAAGATATAATTTTGGTTCATTCACACCAGATGGCTGTTGTTGTATTAGCTGTAATTTTTTTTTTTTTTTTGACAAGGGAAAAGAGTATGCCGCTGTCTAGTCAGGTATTGCATGTTTTAACAGTTCTGGTGGCACACTGGTTGAAAATCGCTGCCCAGGGGAATAAGACTTGAAAGAAAAGAACCCGCTAGCAGCACTATGGAGTTCAGGATCCACTAGACAGTTTTGAGGTAGCTGGGTAATCAAAATGTCTAATCTCTGATTCAATGTGAACCATTAGATCTTTATGACCAAGAAAGAGTATGAAAAATGTTTTGTTTTACCTTTTGAGCCTGAAAAGAGAGAGTTCTGGATTGATCCATTTAGATTTGTTCAATGATCCTCCATTACCAAGATGTCTGTCTGTGTCAAACCTGTGGCCACTCTATATGCACTTTGTTTACTGTTTATACAAATAAATAATACGAGACTTCACATGCATATGCCTTTTAATATTAAGACTCCATTTCAAAGCATTTCAAACAATTTGTTTACTTAGAAAAATAACAATATAGACTTTGGGAAGGGTCTTTTTTACTAACAACACTTGATTTGTACTTATGTCTAATGTTAGTGGTGCATAAGCCAGGACAGAGGGCAGATCCACATGTGCTGTAAATGAATTTTCATTTCGCAGCTCTTATTTAAAATTCACCATCTTATGTGTGTGACTAAGCATTGAAGCTTAACGCGGCAGGAAAAAGGGCAGAAGTGCAGAGCATGGAGAACCCATTATTGGTCTGCTGAGTCATGCCTATCCTGATCGTTATTCATAGGTAGTATCCTTGTATCCTTCTTAGAAATTAGTCTAGCTTTCATTTTCCAAAAGAAGTTAATATATGCAATAAATTAGACGAAGTAATGTTTTTTACAACATATGCACCAATTTTTTTAACTTCATAATTAAAACAGGATAGATACCTCATTATCATGGTCAAAAATAGTAAGTCCCCCAAATTACAAGATATTTAACAATCTGAGTTCAAAAAGACTAGGATCATTGAGATTCCTAAATTCCTTATCAATTACAGTCTCATAACAAGGAACAAACTTTGATAGTTCCAGATGGCAAAGGGTTTCTCATGCGTTTAATACCAATGTCTTCAGGAAATGGTGATGTCAGAAGTTATATGCAACAAAATTGTTTTATTTTTAGCCTAACATACTACAACAGAATAAGAGACAAAGTGAAGTAAAGCTTATTATTATTAGTTCAAAATGGTGGTAAATACTATTACTCCATAAGACTTTCAGAAAGAACAGCATTGACTGCTTTACTGTCATACTGTGAAATAATGCATTTAATGATCTAATTACTAGTCGATACGTCATGGAATGAGACAGAAACCTAAGTTCCTTGCCACTTACAAGTCAGGTGCAAAAGTTAAAGGTCTTTCTTTAGGTGAAGTAAAAGGATTAGGGAATTAGTACTATTAGATCAGGGATCAGCAAACTTTCTCCATGAAGGGCCAGATGATAAATATTTGAGACTTTGCAGGTCTCTGTCCAGCTACTTGGCCCTGCCATTGTAGAACAAAAGTAACCTTAGACAGGGTATGAGTTAGCATGGTTGTGTTCCAAAAAATTTTATGTATGGACACAATTTCCTAAAATTTTCATTTTTCCTCCAACCATTTAAAAATGTAAACATCATTCTTAGTTTGTAGTCTGTACAAAAGCAGGTGGAGGACTGAAATTAATCGCAGGGTATGGTTTGCCACCCGCTTAAGTAATAGCATCAAAGCTACTTTTCTTAAAATACCTTGTTTTTTCACAAAAGGCATATATGGTTAATAACATATTAGAAGTAAGGAATCTGTGGTAGTGTATACCAGGGTATCACTCTCTGGGGGGGTTTTATATTACATGGCTGGTGTATGTGGCTAATAATTTAGTTTGCATGTATAGCATCTTTTTTTCAGTATTGCTGCATTTTGTACTTGTACTCTTGTAATTCTAAAAATCTATAAATAAGATTACTTCTAGGGAAGGTAAATAGAAATGCACATTGGCATGTAAGAAACTCTTCTAAGGCCCAGGAAACAAGACTGTTTCCCATTTATTGCTTCAAATTTTTATGTATGGTGTCACAATTATTCCCAATCCTAAAATAAGGAATATTGTTAATTTCTGCACTGGACTATAAGTTAATACCGCATTGATTAAGATGCATCTACTTCTATTGGAAAAGGTCCCTTCTTATTGCTACTTACTTTTTATTTGGCAATTCTGCCTGCTGCACAACACAATTCCTTCTGGGAAATTATAAACCCGTATTTAAAGGATATGGCTAGTATGAATGTAGTTAAGGCAGCGATGAACAGCAGAGATACTCAAAGAGCCATAGGAGGTTATATAAGGAGAGAACTTAGCTCAGTACACACGCTTCTTTTTTAAGTAGGTCTCCATGTAATATGCTCCTGTGCCCTGAGACTGCTGGTCAACAAATTCCACAGAACCACCTTCTGGGGCAGAGATGAGATAAGATGAACCTCGCTTTTCATTTCTTAAAGATGACACCTGTGAGAAAAACATCATAACTAATGCTAAAATCTAAATTACAGTTGGCTTGTTAAAGATGTGTATAAGAAAAGCCATTCTACTTCTGATTTGGTATAAAAAACAGAATAGCAGAATAAGTAACAATCAAAATCACTTGTGCAAAATACAACCCAGTGTCTGAATGCCCTTTCTTCCCCAACCCCCACATTTGGGGAAAGAAAGACATTGCAGTTGCTTCGGCTGATTACCTATTTCCACCCCTCTGAATCAGAATATCAACACCTGATATCAGTATTCTTCTGAGGAAGGAGAGTGGCTAAGAAATTGAGCTGCATATCAAATTAGAGGTTACGTTTGTATAGCAAGAGAATAACCTAGCAGATGTAAAAACTGGCAGAAGATGTCAATGAAAATAACGATGATGAATTCTAACAAGCAATGTGAATTCAAACTTTAGAAATTATTAAAATGTAGATTTCTAGGCTGCATCACAGAGATTCTGATGTAGAAGTGTTTACGATAAGGGCAAAATGTTCTTCACAAATAATTAAAGAAATTAGACTGTGTGGCACAACCCTGGGAGCTCCTAATGTTTTAGTTTTAGCCTTTACAAATACTACATGTGACAATCGTGTAGAAGTGACTCATGAGGAAAACTTCCAGCTGCAGGAGAGCCTTCTCACATTAAAATTACAACGGTCACAATTTTTAAAATGAGGGTTAACTTCACAGGGGACAGATGATGAGTCTGTCACAACTCCTTGTAAAAAAGAGCTCTCATTCATGTTAAGGAGAGGGATACAGGAGAGTTGACCAACACAAAGATGACACAGGAGGCTACTGAGTGCCCTCCTTCCATGGCCTCACCAAATGTACAGCTACACATTGGATAATTCCCCCTGAAAGAGACCCAGAAACTAGTACACATTGCACAGAGGAAATGCCCACATGGGTAAGAAAGGCTGAGAGATACCTGCCATAAACCCCAGCACAGCACCATACAATTGGGAGGGAACGCCAACTTCTAGTTCTGAGGAGTGCCTCTAGTGCCTCAACTTCTAAGGTTTCCATTGGAGTGATGAGCTCCCAAAACATCTAGCTCTGAAAACCAGCCAGTGTCCATGAGATCCATAAGAATATGGCAAACAAAAAAGCAATTCTTAACAGGTGTACGAACTCCAGCTGTTTTTAGTCTGGATAACTATCTCTCCAATTCTGAAGGACAACTTTGCTGAGTACAGTATTCCATACAAATAGACATCAAATGAAGCAAAGGTAACTGTACTTATCTCAAGACAAAATAAACTTTAAACCAAAGAATGTAGTAAGAGAGACCAATCATGAGGATGTAATAATTACAAATATTTATGAACCCAAAATAGGTGCACCTAATATACAACACAAATATTAATCTTCTGATGTGAGAAATCTGCAACATAATAAGAGCAGGGAAAGTGCATACTCCACTTTATACAGGAAGAAAATCATTAAGAAGACATTGGCCTTCAACTACACATTCAACCAGATGGACCTTACAGACATATACAGAATGTTCCATCCCAAAGCTACCAAATACACATTCTCAACACATGGAACATTCTCCATGATAGATTGTACATTAAGCCACAAAACAAGTCTCAATAAATTTAAGAAGATCAAAATCCAATCAAGCATCTTCTCAGACCACAATGTTATGAGACTAGAAAACAGCTATAAGAAGAAAACTGGAAAATTCACAAATAAGGGAGGTTAAACAACATGTTTCTGAACAATGAATCGAAGAAATCAAAATAAAGTAATCTTGAGAAAAGTGAAAAACAATTTATCAAAACGTGGAATGCAGCAAAAGCAGTTAAGGGAAGTTTATAGTGATAAATGCCTACATGAAGAAAAAGAATGATCTCAAATAACATAACACCTCAAGGAACTAGAAACATACTAAGCCCAAAGTGGGTAGAAAGGAGGAAATAACAAAGATCAAACAAATAAAATAGAAATTAAAAAGACAATAGAAAAAGATAAATGAAACTAAGAGCTGGTTTTCTGAAAAGATAAAATTGACAAAACTTCAGTTAGCCTTACCAAGAAAAGGAGGACTTAAAGTTATAATGAAAGGAGTCGTTACAACCTATCAGAAATGGATCAGAGAGATCACTAAGAATAATTATAGGCAAACAAATTGGATAATTTAGAAGAAATGGGTAAATTCCTAGAAACACACAAATATGACTGAATTATGAAGACACAGGAACTCTGAACAGAATGATTAGTAGTAAGAATATTGCACCAGTAATCAAAAAACCTCTTAAACAAAATTCCAGGACCAGATGGCTTCACTGGTAAATTCTACCAAGCATTTAAAGAACAATTAATACCAATCCTCAATTTTTTCTAAAAAATAAACAAGGAGGCAACACTTCAAAACTCATTTTACAAGGGTAGCATTACCCTGGTACCAAAACCAGACAAGGACATTATAAGAAAAGAAAATTACAGGCAAATATCCTTAATAAACATAGATGCAAAAGTCCTTAACAAAATATTGCCGAACTAAATTCAACACTACATTAAAAGGATCATACACCATGTCACATGGGATTTATTCCAGGGGTCCAAGAATGGTTCAGCAGCTACAAATCAATGTGATACACCCTATTAATAAAGGATAAAAATCATGATCATCTCAAATCATCTGACAAAATTCAGTGTTCTTTCGTGATAGAAACTCAACAGAGTATAGAGAAATATACCTCAATATAATAAAGGTCATATATGACAAGCCCACAGATAACAAAAGGTATCCAAATCATGAAGTAACAGTGTCTGTTTTCATATGATATTATATATCGATGCCTTAAAAGCTCCATGAAAAAGACTGTTAGCTCTAATAAACGATTTCAGTAAAGTTGCAAGATACAAAAGTCAGGTGCATTACTATAAAATTTAATGAACTTCAAAAAGAAAATTTAAACAAACAAACAAACAAACAAAAAAAAAATATATATATATGCATCGAAACCAATACAATACCTCAGAGGTGAGAAATCTACACACTGAAAACAATAACATTGATGAAAGAAATTAGAGGACACAATAAATGACAAAATATTCCGTGCTCAGCCCTGGCCGGTGTGGCTCGGTTGGAGCATTGTCACATAAGGTGGCAGGTTCGATTCCCAGTGAGGGCACATATCCACGTTGTAGGTTCAATCCCTGGTCAGGTGTGTGCAGGAGGCAACTGATTGATGTTTCCCTCTTTCTCTCCCTCTCTCTCAAATCAATTTAAAAATATTTAGTGTTCATTAATTGGAAGAATTAATATTAACATATCCAAACTACCCATAGCAATCCCTATGAAATTTCAAATGGTATTTTTTACAGCAGTGGAATAAACAGTCCTAAAATATGGAACCCCAAAAGACTCCAATCTTGAAAAAAACCATAGCTGGAGACATCACTCTTTCTGATTTCAGACTATTACAAAACAATAGTAATCAAAACAGTATGGTATTTGCATAAAAACAGACACAAAAATCAAAGGAATAGAGAGACCAGAAATAACCATTGCATATATACTCAATTTATGACAAAGGAGCCAAGAATATACAATAAGGACAGTTTCTTCAATAAATGGTGGAAAACTGGATAACCACATGCAAAAGAATGAAACTGGATCACTATCTTACAACATACACAAAAATTAACTCAATGAATTAAAGACCTAAATGTAAGATCTTACCAGGGGTCCTTAAACTTTTTAAACAGGGGGCCAGTTCACTGTCCCTCAGACAGTTGGAGGGCCGGACTATAGTTTAAAAAAAAAAACTAGTTGGCTGCTAAGCAACAGGCAGCGGCGGGCCGGATAAATGTTTTCGGCGGGCCGCATGTGGCCCGCAGGCCGTAGTTTGAGGACCCCTGTAAGACTTAAACCATAAAACTACTAAAAGAAAACTAGGGGTAAGCCTCCCCTTGACATTGGTCTTGGCAATGATTTTTTTGGATTTGACACCAAAAGCACAGGCAACAAAAGCAAAAATACTGGTGAGATTATATAAAATCAAATAGCTTCTGCACAGCAAAGGGAGCCCATCAACAAAATGAAAAGTCCACTTACAGGCTGGGAGAAAATATCTGCAAACCACATATAAGGGGATGATATCCAGAAAATACAGGGGACATACATAACTCATACAACTCAATAGCAAAAAACAACCTGATTTTAAAAAGGGAAAAGGTCCTAAATCAGTGATGGCGAACCTATGACATGCGTGTCAGAGGTGACATGCGAACTCATTTTTTTGGTTGATTTTTCTTTGTCAATGGCATTTAAATATATAAAATAAATATAAAAAATGTAAGTCTTTGTTTTACTATGGTTGCAAATATCAAAAAATTTCTATATGTGACACGGCACCAGAGTTAAGTTAGGGTTTTTCAAAATGCTGACACGCCGAGCTCAAAAGGTTCGTCATCACTGTCCTAAATATACATTTTTTTCCAAAGATGACATACAAATGGCCAACAGGACTGAGTACACAAAAAGAACTCAGTGTCACAAATCATCAGGGAAATGCAAATCAAAATCACCTCACACCTGTTAGGAAGTCTATTATCAAAAAGACAAGAGATAAATGTTGGTGAGTACGGGGTGAAAAAAGAACCCTTGTACACTGTTAGAATGTAAACTTGTACAACCACTACGGACAACACCATGGAGATTCCTCAAGAAATTAAAAATGGAACTACTATATGACCCAACAATCCCATACTGAGTCTACTGTTTTCCTTTGAAAACAAAATCATTATCTTGAAGAGATATCTGTACTCCAACATTCATATCAGTATTACTTACAGCAGCCAAGGTATGGAAACAAACTAAGTGCCCATTGTCACATAAATGGGTAAAGAAAATATTATATACATACAAACATACAGGAATATTGTTTAATCTTCAAAAAGAAGGAAATTTTGCACTTGAGACAACACAGATGAAATTTGAGGGAATTCAGTTAATAAGC